GGAGGGGGGAGGGGGGGCGCTTAAAAACGTAGAAATGGTAAGCGGCCCTGTTTTGTTCACTGCCTTGCGGAATTGGATAAAGCAGATTAGCCGGGTGTAATACGGGTAGACCCGAGTTTCACCTTCTTGCCGCCCTCCCGTCTCCTCCCCGCCAGCCCCCTTTGTCCTTTTGTGTCTATTTTTGGTGCGATGCTGCAGACGCCACGTGGTCAGTGAAAGGGAGCTTGCCTCAGTAAACAGTCAGCTGATGGGGCTGTGTTATTCCTCGCAACAAAATAGCGCAACCGGATGGGCCAAGTCTGGTGGTGGTGTAACCCCACAGATGACCTGAAATTACACCGCTAATGGCTTTGGCCCATAAGAAATCAAAAGCTTTTTTTTTTTGTACTCCCAAATGAGAAGTTTATGAATTTAATTTAGCCCGAACTAGAAGGAGCTTCTGAGCAATGGGGAAACGCTCTAAACCTTGACTTTAATTTTTTTTTGTTTTTTTTTCTCTGCTTTAAGGAACGAGAGTATACAGCCCTCCAGAGTGGATCAGATACCACAGATACCATGGGAGGTCAGCAACGGTATGGTCTCTGGGAGTTCTGCTGTACGATATGGTTTGTGGAGACATCCCTTTTGAGCAAGATGAAGAAATCTTGAGGGGACGATTATATTTCAGGAGAAGAATTTCGCCTGGTGAGTTGTATAGGGGTCAAATGGGGGCTTTTTTTCATAATCCTGTACATTTGAGCTTGTACAGGTGGATTTTTTTTTTATTCAGGATTGTCTTTTTACTTACCTAAAATGGCTTTTGTTTATTTGTTACAGAATGTCAACAGCTGATCAAATGGTGCCTTTCACTGAGGCCTTCAGACAGACCAACACTTGAGCAAATTTTTGACCATCAATGGATGCACAAATCTGAAGTAGTGAAGTCTGAGGACTGTGACATAAGGCTACGGACCCTTGATACTGATGTATCTAGCACAAGTTCAAGTAATGAGAGTCTGTGAATTACTAAGGACCTCGCACTGGGAGGGGAGCTACAAGCAGAAAGACCACAGTGCTGCTGCCAATACGTAGGAGGGGCTAGAAAAATGCATTCATTATTCTGTAGTTGAATCTTTGTCTGAGGGACTTGATTTTATTTTCCCCCTTTGCTGGTTTCTGCTTTGGAATGAGAGATTTCCTTTGGAAACGCTGATGTTTGGGAGTTGCAGGCCAGTACTTAGTCAAAGACTGACCTTATTAAGAAAGCAGTGACCTCTTGAATACATGGTAAACTTTTTTGCTCTCATAGAGCCTGGACTAGATTTTATTTGCTTTTGAGTGCCTTTTTGAAAGCTGCTTCAGTGGGACTTTCTTTTTTGAGCTGTGTATGTCCAAAGAAGATCCAGTTCATTATAGGAATTTGCTCCCTTTAGACTCAGTGCTGGAGGAAGCAGCTCCTATGATGCATTGGAGAACATGTTCGGTGATTGAATGAAGTAGTCCCATCCACTGGTGATGGAATACTTGAACACAGACATTTCACTCCTGCCCCCTGGCCCTTTCCAAATCCAACCCACCTCTGCTGCTCAAAATATTTCCTATAGCCTGCACAGAAATATGAACAGGTATATCAGCTTTTTTATCAGAAACATTTATTCATGTTTCCTTTTATCATCTCTACCATTGGGCATGAGAAGCCCCTTTCTCAACTCCCCCTGGCCTTTTGTCACCCTGCGAGTCTTAAAGTATGTATGGGCATGTTGAATGCACAATCAATGCAATATTCAAGGACTTTACTTTTTTTTTTCCCATATCTGTACAATGTGTTTATGTAAACTTGGTTTTTCCCATGTACTATACAGTTATTTATTGTTTGGAGTTTAGAAGACCTCCCACAGGTTTCAGCTGTGGCTATTTATTTGGTTAATTTATTTGGTTAGAGTTATTCAACACTGTGCTTTCCCCTCCTTCTCCCCATGGGAATTCTAGTGGTTTGCCCATGGCACTTTTTTTCTGCATTCCTGTCAACTTTTGGTTTAAAAAAAAAAAAAAAATTCTGACCTTATCAATTTTTGTTGGAAGATGGAAAATTGTTGTACAAAGTCTAATTTAAGGGAAATAGAATGACTTTTTAAAGTTAGTCAGTATGCCTTTTGTCTGGTATTATTGTACCAGAAATGTAAAGTAATGCTGTTTGGAAGGGTTTTAAATTATTGACATTGTACAGTCTCCGTGCATTGGCTCTGGAAGGGTAGAGTGGCAGAGTCACAAACCTTAATTTATTTTAATAGCTGTGTTTCTGTGATCTGGTTGCATTTATGCAGCTTGGATTTGGATTTTTTTCTTCTGTTTAACAGTGTGAAATGTATGGAGATCATATTTTTTATACAGGTATTTCAATTAAACTTTTTTTGTATATAACAGTTCCGTGTTTGTGTGCTCACTTTATCTTCACCGTTACTCTTGATGCCAGAACACGTATTCCGTTACCTTCTCTAGCTTGTAAAGGCCTACAGCAGCTCAGCCGGAGTTAATAGGTCTATGCCTCTATGCCATTAAGTGGTGACCATTTTGGAAGAATTAAGCAATCCCTCATCTTGACTGTATCTGCTTCTCGATCACTGTATTTGATGTTGAACTGGAGAAGGCTACAATACAACAGCGCTGATGGCCTACATAGAGGGGAATTGGCCAGTAATGGTGGGGTTTTTAACTCCGTAAACACTGAATAACTGAAATACTACTGTACTCATTGTCCTTAAGTGTAACAAGGAAGGATTTTTGTAGTTGCTGGTGGTTACTGTTTTCACAGTTGACATGTTTACTTTCCATTACATTCAATTTCCTTCCTCCTGCTTACCCCTTCCTCCCGGGGGTGGAAGGGGGTTTCCTGTGCCCTTACAGGAAAGGGGCAGCATTCTTGGAGAGCGGGGCGCCTGTTTTCCTTCAGCGCCCTCAGATTATCAAAAAAGACGGGTGTGTCACTTCGTAAAGGACTGGGGAACGTGTGCTGTTCTCATCCATAGCAAAGGGCAAGAGAAATGCCCTCAGCATTTGTCTTGGTGCATTGGGAGTCAAGTCCTGCAGATTACTGAGTTCATCCTAGTTTGTCTGCAGCTAAGGACTGACTTGTCTTCATCTTTTTGCGGGGGTGGTAGCCATTACTAGGTTTAACTACCACAGAGGGATCTGTAAGGTACATTTAAGGATGTGTTCAGTCATTAAAGGTGCTTTGTAGTAGTCACAGTAAAGGGCTAGGCTTAGAATCTGTTGTTTTTATGTTATTTCCCTTTCTGGGGATCTTTCTGCCAGCTCATCTACTATTATTTTGGTTCCCTGTGGGGAATATCTCACTTGCTGACATCACATCAAGCTCCTGATGCTAACTAGTTTAGACTCAAAATGCCACTGAACAGCAGGGGGTAAAGCAGAAGGGGAAAGACCATTTTTTTGTGTGTGCAGTTTTCTGATGACATGGGGGGAAGGTGCATGGCTTTTTCTTGGCCATAAAAAGGAAGTTCAAATGACTTGTCAGGGAAAAAAAACCAAACACAGTTGTGTCCATCAATTTGTCTGTTTTCTGGTTTTGTTCCTTTTTCATTTTAGACTTGTTTCTCCAGTTTTTAATCAAAATCTGTGCATATGCTAAACCTAGTCTCTGGGAAACTCACCTATACATGAAAATGCCTATTGTTGGAACTCTATTCACAGAAATAAAAGATTTTACAGTTCAGATTGCTTAGGAAAATCACACAATCGTGTCCTAAGAGAAGAATGCTTAAAAGTGAAGATTGGGAGTCTTAATTGATTATCTCTTTTGCTTAAGAGGAGGGACTCAGATAAGCTACAGGAGAGATGATCCCAGCGCCTAGTGCAGTTCTTTAGGGAAGCATGTTTCTAACCACAAGTAGTCCCTGGAGAAATTCCAGTAGCTGATGATAATTAACATCTTCCACTCCAGTGACTTCGCATGCTCGCAGCTGTTGAGAGGGGTGGTAGCGAGGCCGTACGGGTGAGCTTCAAAGGGCTACCAGAAAAGCGATTCTAAAAATACGTTTGTAAAGCTATTGTTGATTGCTGAACTAGGGACTTTCAACATTTCCACAGGAGCGTATGTTACTTTCCTTAGCTTCATAGAGAAATGCTGTTGAAGCGGTCTGTTTTGCAACATAAAAACTAGGTTTTCACCTTTTGCTACTGAGGCAAAATGCATTAAAAGGATAAAGGTCAAAAGGACACGGGCGCGAGTGCTGACTCCCCTCTGGGATTAGCTCAACATAAAAGGTACACTTTCAGTACTGCACAGGCAGCTTTAGTTGTGAAACTCCCCTGTACACTAATAGAAGCCACGTGGCTGAAACACCATATACCGAAAGTAATGATTTGTAAAAATAGCTTTTCATTACAGTTGAAAGTTGGAAAATGATGTGTTAATATAGTTCCATTAGCTGTTACTGTCAAAATGAGCAAGTCGGTGACAGCTCTTGGTTTCTCCTGCGCTTCTATCTGTTATTTTAATATCATTAAATGTTACTTCTCTGGGAACCTCCTCTTTGTACTCTCTCTACACTAGGTTGGTTTTCAACAGCACAAAGCTTGAAAAGTAGAATTCTGCAGATCATTCAAAGTACTACCGTTTAAATCACAGCCTGTTTTAACCTTGACAAATTGATTCAGCAATGATCATACCTATGCATGTATGTATGCTACTGGCTTCATAACAGGTATTTCAAATATATTCTAATGCTGAAAGATCTTTAACAACATAGTATTTTATGTAATTCATCTCCTTAATAAAACTCATTCTCCTGTGTGCATAAGCATACATTTGCTTTTCTTTAGCTAACTAAGCTTGTATTTACTGAAGCAACCGAATAAGAGCCTTTTGAACAAAACTGTCAGAAGGATGTTAGAAAGATTGACAAGGGTGTGTTCTCACCGAACACTTATGGTTCTCTTTCAGTGGTTTACTGACCTCTGTTGGTGAAATTAAAGTATGTGTTCTGAAAATAATGATGCATAAATTGGGAAGAGAGATTTTAAAACACTACTGACTGATATTTTTAGATATGGAAGAGTATGGCTCATACTTAAATATGCCACAATGTTTGAAAGGCTACCATTACAAAAAGAAGGAAAAAAAAAGAAAAAAGTTAAGGTACTGCAAATACGAAAATAGCTTTTCAACAAAAATGGGGGAGGGGAGTATGAATTCAAAAGGTTGTCAACTCTGCATCTGAAGTTACAGATGTAACCTGCCTAGTGAGCCCCCAGTCACTTACATGACTCTTGGCATGAGCTTTTACGAGCATATCAGCCCTCATTCTTCCACTTCATTTCCGTCACGATGAGAAGCACTTGTCTTCTGGCATACAGATGGGCAATAATTCTCAGCAGTGTAACTAGATAATGTAACAAAACATTGTGACCCTATCAGCTTATTATTAGTGGATTTTTTCTACTAACAGCAGTGATGCTACTGTTGGTGGCAGAAGTCAAGATGGTGGCATTTTCATTTCATTGCAATACACAGTTTTTCTGCTTCTAAATTTGCAATTGCTTAGTGTCATGGTTATCTGCGATTTTAAAATTTAGTAGGTTTTTGCTTAAGGGGTTCCTTCAGGTAGCTGATATTACCAGACATATTAAGCTTTGGTTATATTGTAGAACTGCTGGACAAAGTGACAAGGAGGCCACAAACCCATGCAACTAAAAATAAATATAAATCTGTATTTAGACAGGATTCCTAATTAATTTCAGAGAATGTTTGTCTCAAAACTGATGGGTTCATGTGGATCAATAAAAAATGTGGCTATAGAGACACACCAGGCTTTATTTTTCCTGAAGAGAAGTCACACTAGAGAACCCCAGAACTGGGGTCTAACACAAGGTAAAATGAGGAGCAGTAACATAAATCCATGAAATTCTTGCAGAGATTTTCTTAGGTAGCAATCCCACTCCTTCTGTTCCAATAAATTTAAAAGGTATTCAATCTTCTGTGTCCTCTGCTGCTCATAATCTTACTATTATTTGTAATATGGCCTGGCACACCCAAGTTTTAAGAAATGTTACGTGGTTTCCAAATAGCTGTTAAAATTTGCGTATTTATATCTCAGATGCTAGGATTTCCTTTTCCTTAAAAATGCCATGAAGGAAATTACTTGCCTACGGAAGCATTATGCTTACATAATAATATAAATTCAGTATAGGTCTCAGATTAGCTGTGTTTAAGCTCTAATTAATATGGTCTTAGTAAGAATGTTATCTATTATAGCTAATACTCTGCTAATTGACTACACAAACCATTATGTAAAAAGCTGCTTATACTAGTCCAGTAAGAAAATTAGTGAGACGCATACTTTAACTTGCACTCTTTCTCAGGTAAGTCTGTGTTAAACCTTGAAATGACAATTAAGTCATAGGCAACAGAGCATCTTGTGGAACAATATGTTTCTTTGTTTACTATTAATGACTCAGCAGTCACTTTAACTCTCCAATCAGGAGTAATAAAAGATTACAGAAAATTATACTGAAAACTGAAGGGTATTTTGCTCCATTCTGTGCAGAATTCTGAAAAAAATGTTTTATATTTCTGTGAATCATTGTTTGTGTAATAGCTAGTTGGATTTTTTTTTTTTTATATAGGTTCTACTGAAAAAAATGCTGTTTTGTTGAAATAAAAAAGTTTTGCTTGCAACACCTATTTTGATAATTATGAATGGGCTGGTTTCAGGGTTGAAGTCTGTTTCTCCACTTTTCTGCTTCCCTTGTTTTAGCACAGGAAAACAGAAGCATCAAATATCAGTCTATTCCAGTTAAAATATATAAATATGTTAACAAGCATATGCTATAAAAAGTTGGAGTGGGGATCCCCCAGATGGTTTTACTTTTGCCAAAAGTTTCCAAACCTAATAGCGTCATGAAAGGGAACAGTCTCTTTGAAGACTATCCTATGGGAAGATGCCCATTAATCAGGGGGAAATGCTCCCGTGTTCAGACCCATGCAAGGTTTTTTCTGTTTTTTGAAAGCCTATGTAATAGCAAAAGCCTTACAATACACAGATTTACATCAGCATAGAAAAGCATAACAAATCTCAGCTTTGCAGAGGTAACTTGTCTGTTGTCCAAGCAAAGGTAAATAGATAACAAACTTAATCCACAGAAAGGCAGATTAAGTTGTAGTAAGGAAGAGCTTTGTATCTGTAAGGATAGCTGAACACCAGAGTAAACTGACTGTGGAGTATATCAATCATCATTTTTAGAAACATGCATTTTTCATAAATCATCCAGAAATTACAGCTCATTTAAAAACACTTTGGAATTCTTCAGCCTAATGCTCATGAGTTAACAAAAAGAGATTTCAGTCCACAACATACATTCTGCTTGTTGAACCAATATAAAATTTATTGACAGTGCCCCTGTT